AGACACATATCAAATGACACCACCCAGATATCCCTATCACCGGCACGCAACAGAAGAAAAGTATCCAATTACTTCTAAGAAATGTATTACAACAACCCGTTGATACGAATACACGCAAAAAATAAAAAATTCCAAGCAAATTCCAAAGTAGAAGAGGCAGAATTCAGATATCTATTGGCTTTGGGGAGAGCCTTTTGGTCATGTTTTTTTTTTCTGCACTATACAGAAAACGCACCGAACCGTGAGTTTTTTGTACCGTTTTTTGTACGTACATTCAGATTTGAACGTATGAACTGAATGGAACAGTTTTAAAGTAATGAACGTGAAAGAGAGTGACATTCACTATGAGAATAATGAGCGACACACACAGCTCACATACAATTGACAACAACACTTCTATCAAATAACATTGGTTTTTACGGCACTTATTACGGCAAACAGCATGACAGATCAGCATGTCCACTGCTAGTGCTATTCTGCGTGGTTCAGACTCTTTGAACTAACAGAGGAAGACTCAGACATAAAAGAGAGTCCATCAAGATTTAACAAACAAGTCCATATGTTAGCCATGTCCACTTCAAATTTAAAGCAATACATTGAGTTAAAGCATCCGTTCAAAGTTGAATCTGCCTGTAGTGTGTTTTTCCACAATATTTTTTTGTGCGACTCTAAATCCAGGCCTACATCATACAGATGTAGGATGTGTTATTCAATTGTTCCGTTTATATTTCAGGGTATATTATGCAACCCTACAAATTCAGATTACATTTTTATTCACTGGTGACAGAACTATTGGTCACTACACCTGCAGCTAGCAGGTCGGTTTCCAGGGGACAATGGTTTAATTTCTTATTCTGTCAAAAGAAAGAATGGAGTAAGCTCTATGTGAGATCAACCTACTTTTGAAATTGTGAAATAAATTGGATGGAACTTTTAGCAACTTGTTGCTGCTTGGAACTCCTCCGACGGAGTTACAAAAGTGAAGTAAATAAATAAATAAAAAAGACACTTAAGCCTTTAGAATTAAACTCAAGCATTATACTGTATTTATTAATCTCAATAAGCCCTTTGAAAAAGGAGCATTAATCTTTTTTGTAGATTCAGCCAATCTTTCTCCCATTTAAGCAGCTGTCAATGGCTCCCTTTCTTTTTGTTCTTCTTTCTCATACGTAATCTTATACAATGATCTGTGATTAGTTTTGTATTTCTGGGTCACTAATACTGAAATTCTTGCACCTGCAATGATACAAAACATATTTTTATAAATTTTTTTATTTATTTAATGTAAGTATATTATTTATTTTATTATTTATATTGTCACACAGGGATTTCTTCCATGCATTAATGTCATACAGTAGTGGCACAATGCCCAACACTGTAGGCTGATGGTGGAGCTTAAAGGGACACTATGCAACATTTTTCAGTTAATTAATGTGTTCCATAACGTTATGGATGATTAAATGAGTCATTTCAGGTTGAACAAAGGTATTCTCGGCCGCCCTGGTGGTCTGTGGGGGAAATACCGCACTTGCAACTGCAGGAGCACCGACCCGCACCCACAGGCTCAGAAGTCTCGTGAGAGTCAGTCTTGCTTTACGGCGAGAACTGCTACACGCCCCCAGTTAAAAGCATTCTCGTTGCTAGCGCAGTGGCAATCTTTGTGCAATTATGCTACGTTCACGCAGCAAAAGCAGCAAAATCGTGTCTGCTGCTTCCTTTTTGCTGCTTGTACCAGTTAGTTCTGACGTGCGGCTGAAGCAGCTTTGCTGCTCTGGCTGTGCGGTGCAAAAGTGTGTCTGAGGCGCATTGGGCGGAGCTTCACTATCCTTTCTCTGCCTTGCAGCTATATTTGCTGTGATCAGTGGGAATAAAGTAGTTTTAATATGTGTTTAAGTGAGAAAATACACCTGAAAACGTAATCAGTGCAGTCAGTTCATTCAGATTATTATCCTGCCTTCAATATTTTTTCTGTCGGAGCCGCTCAGACCCCCACATACCAGCGGTGCGCCGACAGTATGGATCCCTTCATCAGCAGCGGTTCACCGCGGCAGCTGGTAGGTGTTTTTCATCTAAATAATCCAAACTGCATATTCTGCCGCCAGATTTCTGCATTTTAAGTTAATTTAGGCGTCAATAAACTGTTTAAGAGGAGTGATCATCAGCGCTGTGTCTCTCTCCCTGCGTTAAACGCACCCGACGCGCTGCTTCAGCTGCTCAGACGTGCTGCGCCTGGTGCTCAAAACGAGCCGCGGGACCTTTTGCTGCGCCTTGACGCGCGTCAACCATTGACTTTGCATGTAAACTCGCTGCTTCTGTTGCGCCAGCTACATCCAGTGTGAACGCAGCGTTAGTCATTCGCTGCTAAGCTCAAAACAACCGCGCCTGGCTTGACGGAGAAACCAGGAGAACAGCTGAGCATATTTACGACAGTGCACTTTTACTTTCGCCCTCTGGGGGGAGCCTCGCTGGAAAATCAACACCGGTTGCATAGTGTACCTTTAAAGCCACGTCTGCAGCTTTCAGTGGAACTATGAAAATCCAACTGGTTCAGAGACCTGAGTAGAGTCACTTTGAGCTGCAATGTCAGTAGAAAAGAAGCATATGTGTAATAGAGTCTTGGTATAAAAATGTCTGTTTTGCTGCCACCATAGAGGCTTGCTAGAAAAACCTTTTTGAGCAAATATATAGAATAAAGAACACATAGAATAGGTTAAAGATAAAGTTATGTAAAAGTTTAAAAGCATCAGTTGATTAAAAGACAATATTTCAACCCTTAAAAAAACTCATTGAACATTGTTGAGGTTATATGTCAAAAGTGGAAACAGTATGATAATGGCTATGTGACATGCCTTTGAGATTAATGGATGGAAGAGGTAAAGAGAGAACATTATCTGTTATTTTAGTTCCAACTGTGAAAGACAAAGATGGTAAAATTAACTAGTCTTGTAGCTTTGGTATTTCTATACTACTGAAGAGGGCTTTTTTCAACAAACGACAATGTGTTTTGCTAACCTCATACAAACGGTTTGTTTTTAAAATTTAATGGCCAGGATTTTTTGCATTTTCTTTTAAAGAAAATTTAAATCTGCACAACAAACATGACACCACCAAATATGATGTGTTCTTATATTATGTAGACCATGAAAGTTACTGTTTAGGTTATATGAGAGTGGTGTTCCCAAATGCTTTATGTGGATTTTTTTTTTTTGGATGCTAATCAGTCAATGTATGTAAACTGTAAAATCTGTATAATTTAATGTTTCAAATATTGTTATACAGTGCAGCACTTTTCTCCCTTTTTACTCTTAATATATGACCAGTACTACTGGTTTAAAAACGCTGATGCAAGTGTTAAGAGCGATCCAAAACAGTACAGACCTAAATCCATTTGTAGTGGATCAGTAAACAACGTGCAGTCTATAAATACATTACACCCAATCTTCAGTTGTTTTTAAAAGAACTTTAATAATTCATTTCCTAAATATGTAAAGCTAGTAGTAGCATATCCCAAAATACTTGTAGCTGTTCCACAAGTAAAAGATAAACATATAGTTTGGGATTGTTGGGTTTGTTAATTCCAATGTAGTAATATGACAAAGGGTGTGTAGTTTTCCAAAAGTTTATAACTGAGGGATCTAATATTTAATAATAAAAAAAAAAGAGAATTGATTTGAGTAGAAATCACAAAGTGAATTTCTTCAACACTTCCAACTTAAAATGTTCAACCAAAATGAAATATCACATCACAGTGAGCCACAGACACATAGATAGCCTCCGTTATTTGGATCGAAGTGCTGGTGCCTCTCTCATCCAGCGTGACTAACTGGATTTGACACAGTGAGGAGTGGAAGGGTCCCAGGTTCACAAAGCACATTCTGTTTGTTTGACCCCCCCTCTTCACACACATTTAGAAACACACATACACCTACACACTGAGCCCACACACAATTCTGCTTGGCAGAACACTCAGGAACAGGTAGAAGGCAGTGTCACATAATCCACTGGGTAAACTCGCCAAGACACACTGACTCTGCTTCACTGGGACACAAACAGAGGCAATGTGTAATAATGGGTTTGTCATTATTTATCAATAAATAGCTAATCCTGTTTGTACAAAACACATAATCACACACTACTGTAATGATATAACCGCAAGAAAACAAAACATTATTTGTAAATAACATCCACTGGCTAGATGTAACCCTCAACCTGGACTCAACTTTGACTTTCTCCTTTCTTTATCTGACCAGTTGGCGACAGCTTGGTGTAATTTCAACTAATCGGATGATTCTCTCACTCTTCATAATCCCAGACCAACAGGCTGGCGGATGGCGATTTTGAATAGACCGTTGCAGCTGGACATGTACTGACAAAAATACAGTGCAGTCATTAGGTGCAGGATATATAAATATCTATTTTTTATTTTTATTTTTTTGGGGGGGAGGAATGAAATGTTGCGATTTAAAAAAAAAAAAAAGTTCATGAGATTGGAAGAAAACAATACATTCACAAACACTGCATTCTAGTACCATGTTAGTCAGTGCTGAATGATAGGTGAAGAAGTGAAATGTAAGACCAGCATTGCATATGAATGCGCTGACTCTCGTTTAATTGACTCCAATGGACGTCAGCTGAAGCGTCCTAAGGAGCAGAGAGTAATCCCATCAGAAGGTTTTAGCACCATGGACAGCGAATACCATCTCTATCCAAGAACATGCTTTCAGTTGCCACACTTTTTAAGCATAGTCTCATACGAATGCTTATTTTTCCTCCGTTACATTCTCATCAAGGATCCGCTTCTAAAACATGCACGTGTTAATCTATTTTAAAAGAAGGACAGACCTAAGGTGATGGCTTTTGGTAATCTTAAAACAATGGAAATAGCAGCGATGTAAAATGCATATCACTTATAAATTGCGGTCATTAAAATCAATAGAGAGCAAAACGGAGCTTTTTCATTAGAGATTAAAGGTGTGAGAAGGAGACAGCGTAGGACTTACCGTGCTATCCTCGTCGGAGCCATATGTTTAACATTCAGATCTACTTTTCCACACACTGTTGCTGTTCCTCCCGGTCGCCCGAAAGCAGGAAATCCAGCAAAGAAATTCCAGCAAAATTCACCCAACCAACATATTGTGATCTCTAACCCGATTTTGATCTACCGACACATTTTGCCTATATTTAATTTTTTTTCAAAAACCTGGCGTTTAAGTCGAAGGGAATAACCCGGGCATTCAATAGAAGTAAAAACAAACAAACAAAACAACAACAAAAAAACTGCAGCGATGAAAGCAACGTTTGGTGCTCTAATATAGTCCTTCTTTATCCAAGTGTTCTTTAGTTGTAGTCTCCGCCGCGGGACTCAGAGCTCCGTTGGAGAGAGGCAGAGCAACAGTCTCTGTGCTCTAGTGTTTCCTCTTCGCTTCCACAGCTGAAGTGAGACAGAGAGGAAGGGGGAGGCGCAAAGAGTTGGCGAGCAGAGGCGACATCAGCTGAAGGAAGAGAGAGAATGTGTGTAAAAAAATAAATAAATAAAAAGTTTTGTGTAAAAGTGACCATGCGTTTATCACAAATGTAAAAAATTGCGCCACAATCCAATAATGTCGATTAGGGCTGCACCCCATCCAGGGACGGAGCTTGCCTTTTTTTGGTTGGGGGCGGGAGGGGGGCTAGGCTATCTCAGGAGTTTCCACAGACCTACAGTGGTACAAATACAAATCACTTTCATTAAATGAAATGCAGATTCTCTGAACATTATATATATTGAAATACAATATGTTGTGCATTTCTTCCACCCACCCACATAGCACCAAATACTGTGTGGTGCTGTGCATCTCTATCACATGGGGGCCAATCAGAATTCAAGCGGGGGTCCAGAATTTAACATTTAAATTAAATGCTTCATTCCTGCACCTAGTTTTCTAAATGTGTCCTTTTTCAATGAACTTGTAGTTTGTAAGTTGCAAATATAAATGCAAGGATTTATAAAGATTTATAATGTATTTTTGAATTGAATTTAGATTCAATTTAAAATCGGGATCAGTCCTAAAGAGTAATCTAAAGTTTTCAGGTTCAGATAGTTCTGTATAATTAGAAAGAAAGAAAGAGAGAGAAACATTGGCTCTAAAAAAAAAACACATGGCAAATATCTACAGTGACAACATATTCTCATTATCAGTTCGTATGAAATTGTACGAAAAGTTATGCACACTATTTCGTACATTTTGGACGTTTTTCCTCAAAAAACCAGATCAGTGCGCATGCGCAGGCAGACAGACAAAAAAAGCAGATCCGCGGACGGACGTAAAACTGGGAAAAACAGTGCAATAATTACTTCTTAATGTCTCTAACTACGTTGCTTGCTGTTTTATATCTTAGGGTTAGTGTCGGGGTTAGGGTTAATTGTATGTTAAATTCTATGTTCTTGAATGGTGCGTAAGATGCGCATGCGCATACGACGAAAAAAACGTCCAAAACGTACGAAATTACGGTGCATAACTTTTCGTACGATTTCATACGAACTCATAATGAGAATACACCGACAGTGAGCATGTAGAGAAAGGAACTGCTAAAATACTGATATAGATTAATCTAGAACTGTCAGGTTGTGTGAAGGTTTTTAGAGGACCCAAATGCAAAGACAAAAGCTGAGGTAGTTTCCTGTAGATTTAATAACAAGTAGTGGCAACAGAAGCATAAATCCAGAAATAACTAATCAAGGACCACAGGAACCAAAAGAAATGGGAACACATAGGCTAAGGAAGGAATAAAGAGAATCCAGTAAACAGTAACTGCAGAGGAGAAGTATATACGCCAAACAGAACACTGAATGGAGTAATCAACTTATTGGCAACAGGTGTTGAAGGAGCTAGAAGAGATCTAGGGCAAAGAAGACTGGCACAAGGGGGCAACAGAGAGTAACAAAGAAATACAACAGGGCTTAAATATGACTAGAAAATAACTTAGATGACACTGAATGGAAATGAAAGCAATGACTAACAAAACACAGAATGCCAAAAAGTGTAATTGAAATCCCTATGTGAAACTTCAACAGAACCAAAAATCCTAATCAAGAGATCATGACAAGAACGGAATTTATTAAAACACCAGAACTGAGGGCTTGATTAGTATAATCAAAATACAGCATTAGAACATCATACCCACCATCATGATTTTCGGATGCTATGCTGTATCAGGACCTGCCAAGCTTACCATTTAAGAATTCACAATGGACTCCTGCTTCTAACAGAGGCTGATTTAAAAAAAAATATAGAGACTTTGTGTAAAAAGACAAAAAATAAGGCAGAGGCAAAACTTGACAGCCATGGCACTGGCCTGAGAAATAAATCCATCAAGGATTGCTTGGGGGTTAAGACATGGGAAATCCTTGATCCTATTTAGATTATGTAGGGTGATTGTGAACACCAAGCACCCCTCGAACATCTTACAGCTGAAAGTGATGATGGAGCAAACCTTTGCTCGACTGACAGAGATTGGTTGCAAGCTGAAAAGAATTGTCTTCACAAGTTTGATTCAACCAGACAGAGAAACATGAACAAATGGAGAACACAGTCTCTTGATGTTTTCCTCAAATAGAAAATTAGTATCTTCCTTGTTAAGAGCAGAGCAAGATTAATCTTTTTTGTGTAATTCCCCAAAAATAAATGCAGTATATTAGACCTCAATATGTGAACATTACCAGGTAAAGAGTGTAATATTTCATTGGGTAATGTAAGTTTATCAAGAATTAGCCTTGTAATAATCTACAATTGTGTGTGTGTGTTTTTTTGTTTGTTTGTTTTTGTCCAGTTTGATTTCATTCAGATTATTTAAAGAACAACAGCCATAAGTACAAGTATTAAACATAAATTAGCTTTTTGGTATTAACTTTAGCGACTTTAATAAATATTGCTTGATTTAAATGTTAAAAAAGACATAGCTAGGCTAAGTTTGCCTTGTGTTAAGTAGCTTGTTTTGGCATTTCAAAAAGCTAGCAGTTGCAAAAATTCTTTTTCCTTGTTGCATCTCATAATATTGTTTTTTTTTTTTTTTCTGATAGTTTCAATGTTTTAATAAACTTCCTTTTTTGGTCATCTACTCCATCTAGAGAGTATTTACAGCACTGCTCTTTTTCCCGATTTAGTTGTAATGAAGACTGAACCTAAACTCAAGCTGGAAGGCTCTTATTTGTGGCAAATCGTCTCAATTTTTACTGATCTAGCATGACTCAATTGCCATGCATAACTTTGCTATTGAGGGTGAAGATTTTTAACTACAAAAATAGAAGTCAAGTTTATCACTAATAGTTTGTTGACCAATTCTCACTTGGATGTTAGAAAAACATACTTGCTCTACTTGTCTAAAGGAGCATAAACAAAAACAATCCAGTGGGGACATCTTGTGTTATGTGTTTTTAATTTAACATATATCCAAGGGGAAAAAGATAAGGAGGAAATGGGTATTTTATATTTGTTGAGCCCCTCATGAACGCTTCTAAGTACTTGAGTATCGTCACGTTGAATGTAAAGGTATCTTTATTCAACCCTAAAGCTAAATACTGCTTAAACAATACGGTAAGAACAAATACCAAGGACCAGCCAAGGGTCCATCAAGGAAACTGGGGAAATTTTGAATGGCTACTACTGTATATTGCACTGACCCAGGAATCAATTATGATGTGTAAAACTGCTGTTTAGAAGAATATTATTGGCATTATTTTTAGAATATTATCCTTATTGCATAGATCCCTTTACTGAGACTGAGCTATGTGGTTTATTGGGTTGCAGTTTTACTCCATACACTTTGCAGGATTATAGCATTACATTTTCATATGCAGCCTCTGCGTCAGTTTGTTACAACCATAAATTTAAAGGCTCGCCGTTGGATTTGAAATGTCTGACAAAGAAATTGATTGAGTCATTGATATTTTCAATATCTCATTAGATCTTAAAAACTGAAACTACTACAAATCAAAAGGGTTTGCAGGCAGAGGGCCAGGCCAATTATAGCTGCTCTACCACTGTGATCTTACCTGCATGTCCATCTGCTCTGTGGGATTACACAAAATCCTATTGAGCTCCATGGACGGCAGCCAAGATCAGAAGGTCTGAGCCAATCATGACTAGCCATCAGTACAATGTAAGTTTGTCTTTGCCAGCAAAGTCTGAAGTGGATGAGAAAAAATCATGACTCTGAGATAATAGCACTCAATTGATGCCATAAATGATCAGAAGTCATAAGTGTCCTATAAAGCTACTACATCTGTAAGAGCAATGAATGCAGTGGGTAAAGATGCACATATAAAGGAGACCACTCTAAAAAATAAAAGAAATCTTTTTTTATTTACAATACAATACAATACAAAGGCGCACTGAAATATTTGATTTAATTGATTTCCAGAAGTACTTTGCCTTCAATTAAAAACAGCACTGCCCTTAACCTTGCATATTTTCAAAGATGCTTTATCATTGCTAATAATCTGGATCCTTCACTTATTCAGAACAAATAAGTGGTATTCTATATAGTAAAGTGAAATACTATATGATTATAAATTACTAATGGATATGTTTCCTCTTAACTACTACTGATACTACAAATAAGCATAAAGTTAAACAAAATGTTGAGGTAATGAGAAATAATAAAAGTACTCCAGCTGCAAGAGCAGTAAAAAAATTATTGGAGCTGCTAGGCAGGAATTTAATCAAACAGGATTTAAGCTAAACAGAAAATTATGCATATAAATGTTTTGGAAATGCGTTATTTTGTAGACAGACTTTTTTTTAGCAAGGGATGAAACACAGCTGGACTGTTTAAAGTACCTTAAAAAGGCATCGGAATCCCTTTAGTATCACAGCCAATGGTGCTGTTTTTAAATTTCATGTAAGCAGTTGGTAGATGTTTAATCTAATTTCAGCATAGGTACAATTCCTACATAGCTTACAAAAGTTTGATTAAGACATAGTTCAAACACTAAAAGAAGAGAAAGGTATAAAACAACTAAACAAGAAATCCCCAATCATCCAAAGCTTAACTGAGTATATTTGCAAAATTAACAACACTTAAAATTACTGTGGATCTCCATGGCTGGTGGAGATCCACAGATCTGGTAAGGGGGCTTAATATCCTTATTTCCAAAATTATTATTTTCCTTAAGCCCTTGCTAATAAACATAAAGACATATTTACACAAATATGCTGTCCTAATTAAAAGTAAATGTATTTTTTTTTTTTCGAGTTCCTGGGGGTTGATCTAATCTGTTGGTTGTCTCACCTGCAAGCATTTTCTTATGTTCACACCTACGCTAATGCACAAGTTCTTTTTACAATTGCACACCTCTAGTGTTTATGCATT